CACCTACTGTTCAGAACGCCCCACCAAATGCCCAGAATACCCTACCAAATGTCCAAAAAGCGTCCTTGCATGCGTGTGAGTGCTGCCATGAATAGCATGCTTACCATGAGGCTATGTGCTTATATGATATAACTGCCTGAATGCTTGTGGGTGAAGGTTGGGTTATCTGAATTGGAGTAAATCATCAAATGTTTCAAGCCTACCTGTGGGTAGCAAAACCTCTTTCAAAAAAAAGGGCAAAATGTTTTGTTCCAATTCGGGTGACCTGGTCTATACTTATATGCTGTAAGCATCACATAGTAATCTAGGCTAATAAACCGGAATAAGAACTCACAATGTTTTCAAAAATTGATATCATGGTTAGTAGAGGCCGGTCTATGACCGGGCGAGCGGGGGTGCTCACGAAGTGACCTTCCCCAATCGTACCCAAGTTCCCGAGCCGAGGCAACTTTGGTGATGACGGACACGTGGCCTTTTGGCACCGAGTCAGGGTTTCCTAAATTTCCCAAAATAAAATATTTAGGTGGCGACTCTGTATCTGGCAAAGCAGTCCATGTTTGGCACTACTTTTTCAAAAATTTGTTTCTCAAAACGATTTGCCGGATTTGGACTCTTTGGTTCAGATTAGGAACCGTGACATTTTAAGAGTCCGAGCTGTAGTAACCCAAAATGAACAGAACGGGAGCTAAACCCTCCCGGGAGCGTTCGGGGACGTCAACAATATGGAACCGGCCAAATAAAGGCAAAAGGCCACTTCAAGTGACTCGAAAAAATAGGCCCAACAAAAGGCACATGCGGCTGACCTAAGGTTATCCTGCAGGCTGATTACCTACAAAACATTCATAAAAACGAAGTGAGCAAGGCTCAGTGAATGATAGCAATGCAAAAAGATTATGTGCACGAGCATAAATCTTGTAGAGCATATTTATAAAATTCAAGTCGATCTTATTTACATTTCCTTTTCTGAACGGCCTTGGGCCCACCTAGGACAGAGCGACCTTAGGCCCAATGTGACACAGAACGACCTTAGGCCCAATGTGATACAGAATGGTCTTAGGCCCATCATAATAGCAAAACGGCCTTAGGCCTATTTAATACAGAACAAAACGACCTCAGGCCCATATCTCGTGTGCCAATGTTCAATCATTCCACTTATTCTATCAAACATAACTCATATAACATAAGTTATTTGAGAGAAAAATAGAATAGATATTGAATAACACATGTGAGTACAATACATGTAAGAAACGTATCATCACATTACTATTACTCACTGTGATGTAGATGAACAATGGTCCCCTCTTGCACGTGCCCTACACATAGTACACAACTCGTAAGTACATCACTTTTATTTAGTTTTCTCTTTTTATTCTATGTTCAATTCGCTAAACCCCATTCAATTAAACGCGTCATAGAAGCATCAAATGGTCATATTAACATGTTCAGAGGGTTGAAAAGAGCAAAAGAAATTAACAAAATTTTCCATTTTTGGCCATACATGCGGAAGTCCCCACCACACGTGCAGGAAGGTGTGCCGCACATGTGGCCTGCATGTGCTTTTATTGCAATATATATCAGTCTACCTCCCCTGTTTTCCACAGGTGCGGCTATGCATCCCGCACGTGTGACCCTGGGCCCCCGCACGTGCGGTTCTGGCTCTATTCTGGGCAATCCAAAATTCATCAAAAATCTAACTTTTCAAAGGCATCTCAAGGCTTATATACAACCAAAATTCCTTTCAAAACATAGGATCATATTAAACATGATTCTCAATTCCAAATAGAGTATAATTCCATTTTAGTAAAACATGTACAATTCAAATAATTATTTTCCATCCAATTCCTCATCTTTTCATGGTAAGCAAAATAGATACACACACACACACATATATATATATAAGGAGTTCACAATATGTGCAAAAATTAAAGAGCAAAAGATGGGTCCTCTAAAGTTAACTCAAAATACTCTTTAAACACAAGAATCAACTTTCAATTTACATAAATTTAATGACTCTTGATGATTCCATGGACATTTCCTCAAACAAAGCCTTTATATCAAAACCCCTAACTTATATGAGTGTAAAACTTCAATCCAATGCTTGAGTCTCATTAATTGAGGAAATGTTAAAGGCCTTAGAGTTGATTTACACTTACCTAGAGTAAATCCCTAAACTAATCTTCAAATTTCTTCAATCTTCTTCTTAGATTGAACTCTCTCCTTTTTCCCATTCTCGTCTTCTCTCTCTCTTTCCAGGAGATCTTCTTTTCTTTTTGTTGAGAATGAAGTCCTCTAAGTTCGTAGAGACCCTCAATATATCCTTTATGGATCTAATAGACTAATTAAGGCTTAAATCCAAATTAAATCAATTTAATTCATTACGAATCAAATTTTTACAAAACGTTATACTATGCCCTAAAATTCACGCTAATCATAACGGAAAAATCAATTTCGGGTTATCACACCCCTAAGGCTTTCAATTTCTAGTCCAAATGTCTCGATTTCAATAGGTTTTTTCAATAACTGACAGATATAATATCATAATTAACTAATTCATGTATGTAAGCATAACTCCACATGGAATTTCACATTAACCATGTAATTACTCATATAACTAAAGATGTAAAGCATATAAGAGAGTCGGGTTATTACACGGACGGCGGCGACAGCGGCCCGCGCGTGTGCTTGTTTTGGATCCAATGGGTCTGGCCCACTTTGCCCATAACCTCACTCTTCCACAAAACTTGGGTACCCCT